TACTGAAGAAAGAGAAAAAAATGAAGCAAGCCCAAGTGCGTAAAAGAAAGAGCAGGAGAGAAAGAACATGGACTGCATCAGACCAGTACCCCTCTTGTATACTTGGTCTCATTCTCCGTTGCACCCTTTCCCTCGTTTCCTCTCACTCTTGCATTCATGTACTTCCCCACCCAACTTATATTCGAAAACATTTGGCGGTCGTTGAACTCTACAGGCTAACCCGCCAACCGTTTGAACAACAAGCGACTATTCTTTTCATCATCATAAGCGTACTAAACGACGGCGAAAAAAATATGAGTCTCGTCGAGGAACAGAGTACACGAGTCAACGCATTCTTTTGTTACGGCCGGGACAATTTTATTTGAGCTCCTGGTGTTTTTTTAAGCCTGAAAAATCGTCAATGCTTATTTCCATCAGACGGAAAACCGCTACAGATTGCCAGTAGATTTCCACTTGATACAGTCAGCCTAGATCTAATGCCTTTCACTGTCTGCCTAGATAACTCTAACGACTACTTGAGTTTTCTCTACTAGCTTGCATAGTCAGACATCCAACCGAGAAAATTCATCAGCCAACTCAACTATTGATACATTTATTTTATTTTTTTTATCAATAAATATTTATTGTTTAGTTCAGAGATACATTTATTCATTGTGAAACATAGTTTCTGAATGAAACTATCATTACGTCAAACAATACGTGGAAAAAAAATGTCTTATAGAAGAAAATTCCTCAGCAAAGGAATTATTTTGTTGAATGTTTTGAATGAAAACAATGTAGTGTTTTTGATTCAGAAAAGTTTTGTCATATTGATGAAGCAATAATAATAACAACAGAAATAAAAAGAAAAGTGGTAATGATTAAACATTAAATGGATATTTTTCTTCGAATAAATATAATTATAAAAAACTCATATTTTTTTCTCAGTAGATGTGCTAAAGTTTGTGAATTGAAAATTCCAATAAAAAAGTTACTGTCAACTAATTTATTCTCAATAAAGTAATGTAACGATGTATTTTTTAAGCTGCAGATTTACGTACATTAAAAAAAAAAACTTTATCTACTCTGACTAGAATTTACATAAACACTTTATAGAAAGTTTAAAAATTCCATCTCTATCGATTCTTCCATAACTGATAATTGTTTTAACAGAAATAAATTTTCTGATAATCCCACACAAAGCATACTTCATAGAGTGCTTGAAGAGAGAAGATTTCTTCAACATATCACGATGTTTTTATATTTCATCTACTCTTGAAGAGGAAATAAATAATTTCAACAATTTTCTCCAATTAATTTGTTGGAATTTTTTTTTATCTCAACGGAATAAAAATTTAAATATGTAAAAAATAACTCGAGAAACTCGTTTAAATTAGGATATAACACATCTACAAAATCGATTTTTCGAATTAATAAGAAATAATACTTTTTGTGACCGAGATTTTGATAGTGGATTATTATAGTCAGCAATGATTCGTTAGTATTTTCATCCCCAATTTAAAAATAATGAAAATAGGTCAGCGTTATATTTTTAATTGGTTAAACAGATGAGAAGCCAGACGTTGCAGCCGGATCTGAGCATGTCGTATAAGTAGTTGCGTCACGGAGATTCTCATGCACTTTCGTCTTGCATCTTCTCCTTCTACTTTGACTACCATTCGAACTTCGCATCGGGTTTGTCGCTTCTTTTTCTCTTCGCCCAGCTGCCTGTCTATGTACTTACACAGTGAAAGGCAGTCTACAGTATACTTAAAATTATAATAGTGTATACACATATGTTGCATATGTACATGAGACAAAGAATCACCAAAAAGAACCGTATGTCCGTTTGCATAAATATTCTGTAGATACTTGACTTGTGATAACTATTATAAATTTCACGATTTTTTAGCGATACAGCTGATACTCGAACACAAGTTGGAATCAGCTACGACAATGATGATTTATCGAATAAGTCTTTTGACTCGAATGAAATAAAAAACCACTCCCTCGAAAGATAACGACTTTTTGGTTGTAAAAATATTTTTATACACTTCAAATCTACGTTTTATTAGTCACAGTAATGTTTAATGAATGATCGACATCGAAGAAAAGTGTATTTGAAAAGAAAGAAAAAGAATAAAAAAAAAAAAAAGAGATTGAAATTCAAAGAGAACGATTGAGGTCATTCAGCTTAACATACATCTTGCTTGTCTTCATTTTATCGTTCCTCTTTTCTTAACCTTTGCACGTCTCTTTTCTCAACCGCTCCTTGAACCCCTGACTCGCAGGATATGCGTGTCTTTCGAAGAATTCGGAAGTAAATGTCGTTAGTAGAACAAATGCCCCAAAAGAGACAACTAAATGCTAAATAAATTCTCCTAAAAACTTAGTCATTCTTATCATAAATTGATGGTGGATTTGCTGAATTGACTTTCATAGAAAATTGACGTGAGTTTTGACAGTCAGCTAAAAACGATTGATTGACGAAAAATGCAAGTTTTAAATAAGTACCACAATAATTAATCATTAGTGTATCGATCTTTACTGATGAGTATTAATCGAACGTTATTATACAAAGGTCAGGAGTTTTTTTTAATAATATGGTAATACAAATTGATTAGCAAGCTCATCATGAATGCTGATATCATGATAATTATTCATTTAATAATATTCGTACATGTTCACTGACTGGAATCTAATTTCAGAGATAACACCGTCACGTAATCTAGTTACTAAGCGTCTTAATCTAATCAAATATATTATATTTTATTTCTAGGCACTTCTAAGAATCTAGAATCGTAAAATTATTGAATGAAATAGTGCTGTTTAAAACATAGTAACCTGACCTAAATGTTAACAGAAAAGTTTGAACAACGAATCCATTTATTTTTAAGCAAATTATTTCCAGCTCTCACGAGTAAATATTTTATTCAAAATTAAAAACCGTGATAATTGTGAAATAAAATGACTGATAAAATGTTAGATTAATCTTTTTGAATTGTTAATACGATTATAGTATTGTCCAGACTATTTTAATTCATAATAAACCAATGAAAAAATTTTTTTTTTTTAGATAAAAATGCAAAAAAAAGAAAGAACCTACATTTTTATCTGTATATTTGATGTGTATATATACATTTAAAGGACATGGTATTAATAAAATTGTCTTTTGTGTATGAGCTGCAGTCAACCGAATACAAATTTTTCCACCACTTGATACAACAAACTTACGTAAAAGTCGAGTGTCAATAGATAGACTGATGTCCTATATACACTCAGACAAAATTCTTCTTGTACTTGTCAAAATAATAATTGTGAATAAGAAACATTAAATATTTCATTTTTTACTCTAACAAAATTTAATTCTTTCAAATATTTTTTTGTCTTCCTAAAAAGGACATTAATAATTACACTCATTTAGATCGAATCTGTTTGTTTTTCATTGAAATTTAAATTAATGTTAGATAATTTATTACTCAAGAGACATAGAGAGTCAGAGGTAAAATAATTAATAAATGAGTTTATCATGAATTACATTAAATGATAATAAAAAGGTAAATGTTTGCAAAATTTTATAGACTAATAGAAATGAATTAAATATTACACAATGGACAATTAAAGTAGTGTCTATTGAACGTAGTCTTTTTAAATATTCCGCATGAAACTCATGCTCAAGGATTTATTTTGCATACCATGATTCTGTGGGGCTATCCCCTCTCCAAAATAATACAAACTTCCCGCGTGGATTCTTAGCTACGATCTCGATAGCTTTAGCTTGACTTTCAAGAGAGAACTAACAGAGAGACATTTGCAAAAGTGAAAAAAGGAAGACAGCACATGTATGCGCAATAGCCCGAGGGCATTGGAACTATTTTTATTTTGCGTCTCGCATAAATTCTCCTGGCACAAATCTCTATTTTTAATACTATGTAGCATGTTTTCACGCTGCAGCATGACTACGTTCGCAATGTAAAATGGGAAGATGAAAAAAATAAAGTGAAGGATGAGAAAAGAGAGAAAGTAAGAGCATACGTGAGAGAGATAAAATGATTGCAATGGATAATCGCTCGAGTTATTTGTACAAGCGCTTCACTGGAGCGACAGTAAAGAGATAGTGCTCAAGTTATTCGACGGAAGATAACACGATTGTTCTATCTTTTATTTCCGACACCTCTCTTTTCTAATCCCTTGCAAATGTAATTTTTAAATACTCACATTACTTGTCATCAACTTTCATTTAATTTAGCCGACAAATCGTGACCTAGACAAATGTATATACTCTTTCTACTTCACGAATAAAATAGACTATTTGTACGATAAAAAATATTTTTATTAAGCATCTTAAATAATTGCTAATCTAGAGGGAAACAAAGCCTGATGACGTTGATGATGATGAATAATATAAATAGTTGTAAATGAAGAAGGTAATAATGGCAATAAACAAAGCATCACTATAGTTATAATCGCTATATTTACACCGCCGTCTAACGATAAAGGATTGAGACGATGGTGATTACATCATCATGGTCGGGCATGTTGGCAAAGTACGCCAAGCGTATCTGGCATTATCCTCGTCTAGCGCTTGTCTAGCCGCCGCCGTCTCGACACACTACTAACACAGAAAGCCGTTCACACGCGCGCGACCGAGTGAATAGAGAAGGCCGAAACAGAGAGCAGCGATCGAGACAGCCGCGGAAAGGCTATGCCAGACATAACGCACACGCGCAAAGCTCAGGAAGAAGGGGCCCGTAGAGTGAGACTCGCATTGCGGGATCGTTCATGCACGCGGGCCTCTCCTGCTGTACCCTATTCTCTCATCGCGCCGGTTTTAAACTCAATAGCAGCAAGTATACATACTAACTGAACGATACATTATGTATATACGTACTAACACGTTGCAAACTTTCTTCTATCTCTTTTCCGCTCTTTCTCTCATGGCACTGACGAATAAATGCGACGGACACGGACGTCCGAAGGCCACCACCGTATACTCTATCGCTCATCAGCTGCGGACGTACCTTGATCGTCGACGCAAAGTGAAGTGTGTGCTTCCTGCGGTGTCCTTGCGTGGTGCTAAGTCGACAAATATGACGACTCTCTGTGTGACACACGATGTTGGACTTGTCTATGTCTGCAGTTGAGGCTTCTTCTTCTCCACCACCACCGCCGCCGCCTCCTCTCCTTCACACTCTTTCTCGCTCTTAATTTCTTCACAACTCTTTCCTCTGCTGCGTTCGTCTCTTCAACTTTGTCTAGGCTGTCTTGTGGCTCGTGAGGATATCGTGTAGTATTAGACCACTTGCGTTTAAGTTTGCGTCCATGGCAATGAAAATGTTATGTGCTGCAATTGCACACTAAGACTATAGTAATAATCCAAATAACGAGGTGTTTTATATTTATAATATTTCTATGCTATTGACGTCTTTTTATTCTTATTATACACTTGATTTATTATTGAATTATCTATTTATCGTCTAGTCAATAACGTCACAGTCTCGTCACATAAACTCTCTTTCAGTCTTGTGTTCTCACTCAAATCACCACCGGTCACCGAAGCAACTAGAGTCCTCGTGTTTAATCTCTCTTCCTTCGGTATGCCGTTTGTTCGCCGCCTCCTACTCGTCTCGACGATAAAATCGTGCATACGCGTGGCTTCCTCTCTTGATAACTTGGTATTTTTTTTTTTCCTCAACAATTGATGATCAATCTCAAACACCACGTTGTTCTCCACCAACACCAAGTCCGTAATATTTGAATATTATTTTAATAAAACTAACAAAAAACAAATTCGATAGATGATATCGATTGATAAATCACTGACTACTCGTATAACTTGTGCGACTTGGGTAAAACGTGAGTAGCGCGGTGGTTGGTGAACTCGAGGGAGGATCGTGGATGAAGAGATGACACCAGCAGCTTTTGGACACCGAGACTACCTAGTCGTAGAGTGATTGGGAACGCGACTGGCCAAAGCACTTGATTCGCGCGCGGTTCGGTTTGCTGCGCCTCTCCCATGCACTTTTTTCGGGTACGGTGTGTGCGTGCGCGTGATGTATACGTGTGTGAAAAAAGAGTGAACACCAAGCGGATAAGCGGGTGAGCGAGTGAGTGCGTGTGCGACGTCGGGTAGGCGAGGTATAGTTACCGAAATGTTAACCTCGTGGAACCACTTTTTATTGAGTGTCGCAAAATTCATAGGAACCACCGGAGAGTGAGCGAGAGCACACGAGAAAAAAAGAGGAAGAAAGAGTGAGAGCGCCTGACGCAGAGGGGAGCGTGCTTGGCGGAGGGCGCACGAGGAGCAATAAGGAGGGAGGACTAGCAACGGGACATAAGGGGCGACAGCCCCACCAGTTGTTCCAGCCTGACACCCCTCTGTCCCTGGTCCTCGCCAATTCTTTACCCCACTATTTCTCTCGTGCATGGGCCTCCCCAAACACGCCGTGGCCCCTCTCTCACTTTCCTCTCCTCTCCGCTGATATTCTACTCTTGGCCCCTCTGCCTGGACGCCCGCGATTCACCCCGCCGACTCCTACCATTTCGTTTACTCTCCCTCCCCCGACACCCCTCAACCACACGACCACCTCCTACATGCTGCCACTCGGCAGAATACTTCCCGCACCCCTCTCTTCCGTCCGACATTTAGCCCGTGCACAGCCAAACTTATGTACAGTTAGCTCCGCATCGAGTAGTCCCGACGATTTTTCGCCCGTACACCCGTCGACGTTCAGATCTACCAATGGATACACCATAGTCACACTCAATCTTCCGTGTCAATATAATTACTCACCAATCCTCAAGAGTTCAATTCATCTCCACATCTTTCTTCATTAATATTTCCCATTTTTGTTCATTTTATTATCCACTACAAATAGACTTCTCACATACTCCCATTCAATATTCATTTCTTATCTTCAAGTATAATAATATTATAATAATCATCCTTATGATAATTCATGTTCTGATGATTCATTTGCTGTAATCGTTTGTACGTCATCACTTCAAGGACGTACATACGAAATCTCAAGGACCAAAATTGGTGAGAAATCAGCCAATACTCTGCTTCAAATATATTAATAGATTATACATCGATTTTATGTCAATCGAAAACCACATTGGCATGTGTATCCCTTAATGTGTCGCTGCGTCAGAATTAGGCACATCTATCACAGTTATATTCAACAGAAAAGGGGGATGGAGAAAAAAAATTTCATCCCAAAACAAAAGTCATCTCTAATCAAGCAATTAAAAATAATAATTTTAAAATTAAAAATATTTTTATCAATTGTTAATAAAATTTTCTTGTCTATTAAATTATCCGCTACATGAATTAAATTGTCTAAAACGGTATGAATTATAAATACGTTATAAAGATTGATCGTAAAAGTACCTTAAAAGCCTTCGTAAAATTTTCAATAGAGTTGATAATATGTGAGAGATAAAATTAGATTGAATAATACATAATATTCTTATTAAAATAGTAATTGAATATCACTTATACAAATTGATATACATTAATTCAAAAAATTATTTAAATATTCAATGGAGAAAGATATTGAAAGAAAGTTCACTTACACTATATGTGTAGAATAAATAAAAACACCGTTATATACCGCAAGGAGCTTCGATCTTTCAACATATTCAACAGGCTTGAGTCCTTTGAACCAATTAATTTCTCGGTGGTTATTTTTGACCTCCTGTAGTTTTTTTATTACTTTCATCTGAGATTGTTTATTAAAGTTTGATGTTCTTAAGTATATAATAATCTTTATAAATTAAATTGCTAGGAATTGTATGAGTTACATCGTTGTCAAAGATCTTTTATTGGACGAAATCTAGATGACATATCTCTAAATATAGCTAGATAACGAGGTCACCTTCAATTTGATAAGGACATCTACGATTAGTTGTTAGAATGAATTCTCGACTAAAGTTAGTAAATTTAAAAACAAATTGTTTTGCACTTTTTTTTTTGATTGCTTAATGGATAAATAAATTTGATAAAAGATCAATTAGATATGATTGGATTGCGGAGAATGATAAGAACACATTTACTTGTCAAGAAGATGAAGTAATTTTTTCATTCAGTCGAATTTGATTCAATATGATTTTTTAATTAGATTTTATTACAAATTATCAAGTCTTCAAGATACATTACAGAAAAATTTGTTATGTAATAAAAAAATATAATGAAATATTTAAAATAGTAAATTACAAATGGAAATAACAGGATTAAACCTTGAACGAATTTTAAATATATACTAAATCATTTTTAATGGTAACCCAGAAAATAATATTAGAAACAATATCGATGTGGATGATGGTTTTATAAATTATCATTGAGAATAATTGAACACCGAGAAATATTGATAGAGAGTTAAATGAATATTTTAAATAACTACCAGATATTTCTAGATGAATTTTAACATTCAAATGACTCTAAAAATATATACTTAGTTTTAAAGAAATAAATTTTATTTTTATTACAAGAAGTCGATTTAATCAAGCATTTAATTCTTAGGAATAGATGAAGCACAATAACAATAAAAACTTAAGCTTTTTAGTTGAAAATGTAAACGTTTGGTATTGTTTTAACGATTTTTTTTTCATTTGAAGAAGTGAAGCATATTACCAATATTTACCATTGAAGTGTAAATTTAATTAATTTCACTGTTGAAAAGTAAAGTTTCTTTTATGTTTACTATAAATTTGTTGTCGATATGTTTGATGATACACTTCAATATAACAGGAAATGAAGGTTTTGTTTTATTACTGAAAAATGTAGAAAGCCATTGTATACATCTGAAGATTCGGATTGAACGAATTTTCATTCAATGATGCTTCATGTCTTTAAACCTCTTCTAGTTCTCGACTTATCGACCTCCAACTCAATGATAAATCCTCGCCATTGACTCACTTGTGGTTTTCACCAAAGGTAAATTGAGACTAAAGTCTCGTTGTTCAACGAGATATACATCCCTTCACAATAGCTGTGCTTATTTTTTTTTTTTACATCAAAAATTGCGTTTGCTTTTCTATATTTATTATTTTAAAAATGATAGAATAATAAATTGTCTCGAAATTTTTGTCGTATAAAAATCCAGAAGATTTTTTTTAGCAAAACCTCATCGTCAAGTGCATCAACCGCACATGCTTCAGTTTTACTACACAAGTTCAAACAAGATAAGATTAGTGGTGTATGCACGCAAAGATACTGCAGTGTGTCCTGACTTCCTTCGCTAGACGCGTCCGCGATAAAAATAGAAATGGGAAAGTTTTATTCTCAGTAATGAATTGCATATGTAGCTGAATCAGCGATAAAACGTTTTATTGTCGCTGAACTAGTGTTATTATCAAGACTCTAAACTTTTCAAGTATTTACAATACAATAAATAAAATATTTTTCTGTTTAATTTACATTTTTTTTTCTTCTTTCAATTCAAGTATCAATTTGCAAAAAACCGTATAATTATTGAACATAAAAAAAATACACACAATTTTTGTAGCAATTTAACCCTTCAAATCAGATTGAAAAATATTTTCACAGCATAAAAAATAATCTAAAAAATTTTAATAGCCAAAGTAATAGAAGAAAAAAGAGGGGCAGCAGCAAAAGAAGAAGATCTAAACTATATAGAAGTCGTTTTAGGCGTCGTCCGGCTCTATCTCTCTTGTGGTAACTTTAAACTGGTTTTTATATTGTCTTGATGTGCAGTTTGTAATAGTATATGTGTCTACGTTCAATCTAACGCTTGATTATCCCTTTATAATTTGAAAGAAAAAATAGAAAAAAAAAAATGCGCTTCACTAAAAATGCAAAACAACGTTGATGATAAACTCGAAGCAGCAGACAGTGTTTATAAAAAAGTGAAGGACGTCTATGTGGGTTCCAAGGCTTCGTCAGAATGTGTCACAGGTGAGAGGACGAAACCGGTAGTAAGACTGCTACATGACACGACCCTTTGGTTGTCGATAAAAATTCTTGAACCATATATACAACAAACTCTTTTCAAAGCATGGTTTATCATTACATTCCATCCTTTCTCACGACTCTATTATGTCTTTTTAGCAAAAACCAGTACTATAATTAGCTAAATAGCCATTTATTAGAAACTGAAACATTTTTACTGATCACAAAGAAATAAATAAAGACCTTTTGTTCTATTTGGAAGCTGGATTACGTTGAGTGGATGATGTAAATCGTTTTCTGAGGGCCTTGTGGTTGCTAGCAGATTCGGCAGGATGGGTTTTGCACACTCACTAGTTCGTTCGAGGGCCATGAACCCCGAACAGGTTGCCCCCTTGGACGTTCACCTCCTGTATTCCCTCGGCACCCCTCACTTCTACCTCTCTCATCGTGCCGAAATGCCGTGTTCCCTCTCTTGTTCATCGTTCCCTCTTCCCTGCTGCCTACTTTTCAACCGCGAAAGCTAGCCACCCTGGCCCTCGGGCCCTATTCCTCTCCTCCCTCTCTCTTTCCCTCTTCAGCAATCCTTCTTTAACTCACACTAGTGCAATCGAGTGCTGTCGTGCCTTTCTCTTCCTCTCTCGTGCTTCTTCTACTTACTCTCTACGCCATCCTTCCTTGCCACTCCTCACTTTCTATCGCTTCTTCACTGCAAACCTTGCACGCAAGTGTTAGATCATTTTACTTTTAGAGATCTCATGCTTTACATTGTTACTTTAGTGATAAGAAGATTGTCGAATTAAATTGCGTAGATTGGCGAATTAATGTGGCAAGTAATCACTCAAACTTTGGACATTTGAATTTTATTTTTTTAATTGTTATATGCCAAGATGAATCTCGAGATTGACTGTGAGAAGTTTGAGTGCTATAAAATATCAATTCGTACTCTTTTTTTTATAATCCTTCGAAAAAAAATTTTCTTTGATGTATGTATTCGTTAGAAACATTATTAATGAAACGTGAGATCAATATAGATTGATTATCTGTTACTCTCGTGTAAAATAAATGCTATCTAATGTCTACACGAAATTCAAGTCTGGTGCAACCAGATAGACACCAGAAAAAAAAATACTTTTATTATGAAAAGAAGAAATGAAACTGAAACTTTTGAGGGCTTCTAATTAAGATTTATTACTGGGTTATCGTCGTTATAGTACACTTTTGAAAGTTTTATTTAGCAAAATCATTCGAATCAAAACAATATAATGAATTAATTAAAAACTTTTTCACATAACTAATTATGAGTCATCTATTTATTTTTAAATACACAGAAAAAAGTAATTTAAAATAAACTTTGTTATTTAATCAACTAATGATTAGGATCTTTTTATATACATATATATTAGTTTCGGTTGATTAATTTCAAGTATTCCGACTGATGTTAAGTAAATATTTTTTTATATTGATGAAATTAAACCATAAACTGATACACGATAAACTTGTGGTTAAGTACTGGTGGCCACAAAAAGTGCAAGGATTTGCAAATATTGTGCAAGGACAAAAGAATCACATTGCTTGGAGTATGTCATGTCAATCTAGAATGTGCATGTATACTATGTATCTATTCTTCATAGAGAATGTCGAGTTAGTAGTTAAGCAACCATATATCCGACTTTGCTAGAGCTTAAATTACGCTGAGCAAATTATATTGCGATAGACTACAATAGAGCTGATTGGTAGGAATCTTGAGTTTAATACCCAGAATTTTATTGTATTCATTTGTTTGTGAAATAGGTTAATATTTAGCCAACGTCACCTCACAATGCTAATTATTTACTTGCTGATAAAAGAATTATTCATTTCATTAAATAGCTGTAACTAATTTTATTATGTGTTTAATAATTTCATAAATTTTTGAAGTATCATTTAATTGGAGCAGTTGTTAGATGTAAAATATAATTATTCAATTGTGGATTAAATTTAATGAGATAATTATACGTTGAATAAATATTCCACATTAGATGAGTCTCGTCTTATTAAATATTTATTCTTGTGACACTCAAAGTAATATTTGAAATTCACAGTAATGAAGTTAACGTCTTTTATGCATTGAGCAGGTGTTTGCGAATTTTTGAAGAAGGGTAAAATAGATCTGCCAAAATGATGTATATATTGTTTGCAACGAAATATAGTCTTTATTTGTCCAACCACAGCTTGGACAAAAAATTTTTTATCCAAATAGATTTGGATTCATGATGACAAGAGTATTTTTTTTCAACTATCACGCAATGCATCAACCCTGCTGTCACCAACAAAGGGTTATAATGAAAATAAAAAATAATGAATTCAACAAACGTCAGAGTTCACACCGGAAATATATTCGAATTACATATGTATTTCACATTGTGATGGAAAAGTCAATACTATTTACCGCTTATCAAATTTTTAAAAAGTTGTAATTTTATACATTTTATCGAGTCCTTTGCCATTGCATCAACGAGAATTATTTTTATAACTATATCTCACAAACGAATGTTTCAAAAATAATAAAACATCGTAGCATATTATTATTTTTATAATCAGATTAAAAAATTATCTGATCCGTCCAAATAAATACCAATGTAGTTAACAATTCAACTGAAATAATTATAAACTTTTATTTTGACAGTAAAAAATGTTCTATTATTATAATTATTTAGATTAATAAAAAAGAAAGTTAATTATTGAAATATCTATGGATAGAATTAACATTACCAGATCAACTAATATCATTATAAAATTCTCATATTATTGATGAAATAACAATTTTTTCTTTGTTGCCATGGACATTACGAATTTTAGAGGATATAAACCTGATAGAAATAATCCAACATTTGCAACAAATATTGTATAATTAGAATACCGAACAAATATCTGATATTTTATTATAGTCCAATTCGATTGACGTGGTGTATTGTAGAGGAAGCTGATGCTTGTATGTAGTTGATGGATGATAAATAAAACGTAATGAAATATCCATTTAATTATATTTGTTGAAAGGTATTTTGTTAGTTTTTTAATTAAAACATATGTTTAAATTAAAATTTCTTGTTACGTAAAGAAAAATTTTCTATCAAGCTTTTTGCAATTTGAAATAAACAACTAATTAAACAACAATAAAAAATCTTTTTTAAACTGACATATTTTTTGTGGGTCAAACATATTTTTTAATCCAAATATGTGATTAATTTTGCATCAATGGCATGAATGTAAGTTGGGTACAATCAGCCTTTTTTAATCAGATTTAATTCAATAATTACTTTCCTATAAATTAAATTTGATTTCTGTGTTTTTTTTTTTACGTTCAATCGAATTTTATTGTACACTCATCCGTAATTATTGATGCGACTGCTTAAAACCATTCGCATTTCTCTTTCCCTTTTTAATCAGACGCGTGTGCGTCAGGACATTCCACATGTGCGCGTGCGGCTGATGCACTGAGCGCCGAGGACGAGTGATAAGTGGTTGGATTATTTGTGTGGGTGTGCTCTCTTCACCCTATTTGTTGGTCGTGCGCATCGTTTTTCGTAAGCCGCATGTAACTGCACCAAGAATCACACTTGGAAAACAAATGTATACACCCTTGAATCCTGTATTCATTTTTTTTTTACTGAACATCTCACTCAATTCAATGTAATATTACAATCAACCGGTTATTCAGTGGATAAGCATAACATTTACTACTATAATGATGCAACATATTTTTAAAATATATAGCCTTCAGCATACATCCACATTTTGAGTTTTATGAACAAAGGTAACAACTTTTTCCATTCGAACTCATTTCTTTTTTTTTTCTTGCATACAAGTGTATTGCATGAATAACATTTGTAAAAATGCTGATTATTGTAATTTTTGATAGCATCTAACTCGAGTTATTTGACCCAGATACCATGCATTAATTTCCGGAAAAAAATTTCTTCACATAAATACTCTATATAAGTGTAAAAAAAATGCTGCAGCTGATACATTCATTCTTGATGATTATTCTATGATGTAATTTGTAAATGATATGGTGAAATTTGCTAATAGCACAGTTCATCAATGTCATGACTAAAAATATTTTCTTTTAATATATAAAATTTTTTCTTCAGGCTCCTCCCCAGATGAAAAGATGAGAAAGGGATGGTCGTGGGATCGACAATTATACTCCTTTATCTGGTGAGAATTAATATAGGTAAGATTAAAATTTCTTTATTCAATTAATATAATTAAATAATAATAATAATAATAATAAAGAAATAATCTATAATAAAATGATTCAATGTGTATACGAAAAAATTTTACTGTAATATTAATTAGCTGGTTGCTGAAATATGTTTTCCAATACTCATTTTACAATGAAATTTATTAAACACACAAAAAACTGGATGAAATAAACACAGATAGAAATCATAAATGCATTATTATTATTATTAATATAAAATTTAATAAAATTGAACATAATAAATTACCTTTTGATGTATATTTCGATACAATATAATTAATAATTATAATATAAAATGAGCTAAAAGTAGAACAATGTCATTTGTGAGAAAGATTCTTTTTAGAATTGATAATAAATTCAATGTATCTGTTGCAAAGAAATATTTTGATTATTTAAGGACGTCACACAGCTATATAAAATGAATACAATTACTAAAATAAATGAACGCGTCATCTGAGTGTTGTGTAATAAGAAGTATTCAGCACAGTTTATAACGAGTATTATAACTTTTAATCAATTCAAAGAAGTGGAATTCCCGATAATAATGGTTACGTGCAAAAGCATCATTTTAGTGAATGATGTACAACCGGATTTTAGGCGGAAATCATCAGTTAGTCGCAGAATGAGCCAAATATCAGATCAAAACCATACTATACGTGGGAATTCCTTTTCCCGGACGTAGGTACACCATGTAATACATGATCATTAAGTGCATCCTTGCAAATTTTCGTCAGTGAGGTTTGTTAATGTGAGGACCTCATGCACCCGTATACATATATTATATACTATAGATATGAGCTACAAACTGACGGATATATTTTAAGTTAATAATACAAGCCAGTAGATGTAAGATAGTTATAATTAGTCGTATATTTGAGTCTAGCAGTAAGCGAGTTACCCATGTGAACTTCCTTTCAGTTTTGGGCATAAGATATTAAGTCACGTTTTATATGAGCCGACTCCACCCTTGGAGTAACTGTTTTGCTAGTCTTCATGCATCTCTGGGTAACTTGGCACAATTTCGTAACGTGCAAATAATGTTATTTTAATCATAAACAAATATCTCTCATGTATTACAATTGTTCTTTTTTTTTTTTATTCTCAAAAGAATGAAGGGGTGAAACAGGATAGAATAAATGGAATATTTTTTTTATTCATTACCGAAAAATTTATTATCAAATCTGAAAATATTAAAACTGATTATATGTCAAAGGGATGACTTCAATAGAGTATTGATGATAAAAAATATCATTGGTGATTAATTTTTTTGTTTTAAGTAAATCATAAATACACGGCTCATTATTGAAAAATCTGGAAAAAAAAGATTTATCGCTTTTGTATTAAAGAGAATAATAAATATCACAACCGTTGATATAAAAGATTAAAAAGTATTTATATTTGAAATATTATTTCACATATTTTCCATATACTGAGTGCCATTTATTATAACTTTAATCCTCAGTTAATTATTGATTAAAAACTGCAAGAAATTTTCTCTTGACTGCTCAATTCTATTTCAATTTAATCCATACATAAAAAAATGTATTTTTCAATTTAGTAGGTTTACATTGCTTGTCATTCAAATATTAAATTCAACTAAAACCTTTAATCTTCGTGGAAATAAAATTATTTTTTTACAAAAAGGCACTTTAGTAGTTTATTTTCATTAACCATTCTGTCATTGCTATTGATTGTAATTACTTATGGCAATTTGAAAGAAAAAAAAAATTTGTTTTAAATAAATTCATCGATGGAAAGAGTAAGCTGCTGTTTGAATTAAACCTGCTAAATTAGCGGAATAAATTCTGTTACTTTAGTTTGAATAAGTATTCGTATATGAAGGAGTAGTGCAAATATTTTTATTATGAGGAAGCTAATTATTCATCGCCCTGTTGTACGGATTATTAAAAATATGAATGATTGAACGAAGTATATGATTAAATCCTCTGTACCGTATATACTGTTTCAGAGAAATAATGAGAATTTTATTATAAATAAATAGAGGAAAAATGAATGCAAACAATTGGACCGGCGAACATTTTATAATTAAAATGAACAGTCTACATCGCTTGGACAAACAACGGATTTTATTATTTATGAACAAGCTGCTTTGTTTGTTAAAATTACGTATTCGTATTGCAATTATAATGCGATTGAGTTAGTAGATCTGATATATTCCAACATTTTTATATACCTTGCGATCAGCTCGCGAGAGTGGCGTTGGCCTGCTGGGGACGCTATTAATGCTGCGGCGCGTAGTAAACAAAAATAATAATTAATATTTATTGTCGATAATTTTCGTTTACTCAATTTGAAATTTCCAGAATGAGAATTACTGTATTACTCACAATCTCTCGAGATTAATTCAGTTAAGTGCACCATTTCATGTTACATATGTATTAGATTGTATTTATTTTATTCGATAATCGATTCATTTACATGTAATACGTGTTGTTTTTTTTTTATTTTTATTCTGACCTTTCGTTGTAATCATTGTGCTTAACAACATGTGTTTCCATGATGTATCAATAATTAAAGCTTCCCAGGTAACAGGGTTATTTTTATCATGTTTCAAAGTTCGAATCAAATTGAAAAAAAAAATACAAATAATATTCTTATATTTTTCACCAATAATTGTTTTTACAAAAAGTGATATATTCACGCTGAGTTACAGAATAACAATTTTTTTTTTTTATATATCATACGGATATTTTTTTTAATTAAATTTGGTTCGCGATTTTTCATGTAACATGAAAAATGAAGCGAAGAATAATTTTATGAATTGAAAGAAAAAAAAAATTGAAACAATTTTTTTTTAGCCACTGAAAACCGATTCTAAAAGCTTTAAAATGTTGGACATGGATTATTCAAAAATTTTCTTCTCGCTTCGAGAACGCTCGAATACTTTACAGGAAATTAAAGGTTCCTCTTCATACTTTTCTTTAATTTTTTATATTATAGTAAGAGAAGAGTAGTAGGGTTAATAAAATTCCTTCAGATCATTTTTCTCCGAAATAACGTAACTCTGAATTATAAAAAAAAAGTTTTTAATTTTCTTTTGATTATAGTGATTCACTTTAATTTAATACTGATGTCTATCATATTTAAAACTTCCAAAAATAAAGACAATCAAGCTCTTCAGAATGAAAGAATAAACCGACACAAATAAAAAAAAAACTTACTTGGACAAAAAAATTGCATTTACAGAATAGAATTATCATATTTTTTAGCATTCAATGGTGTTTCTACTCGAACAAAACTAACATCACAGAAAGATCAATGTAACGAATAAATATTTTTCTCTTATTCCATGCGTGTCTGTTTGACTTATGTCTGATGTGTCGTCTTTCATTTATAATTCCCAGTGCGTCCTATAATTCGAGTTGTTCAAATGTTTCATATTGATGTTCGTAACACAGTAGATTGATCCAAAACTTATGAAATTACTCTTCAAATTATATGATTAATTATCACCTCATTATCAGTTGGAGTTTACGACTTTCAAATGGATCTCTTTGCTTCAATGATATCCTGTGAAAGGAGAAAAAAAATAAGCCAAGTGACTTGCAAATTTCTAATTTGCGTGGGAAGGTCGCTAAAAGAAAGACATCTCGATGCAAATGGTTGACGTGAAATTCTTTTTCTAAAAACCGCCATATTGGGGCCAACGTAGTACAGATAGGGATCTGCGGAAGACGCCCTCGGGGACTTGTTTCGGCTGCAAACAATGTGGGAGAGTACTGATGGCAGGATGCACCGAAACAATCGGCAAGTTTATAGGCTACAAAAAATTTTCGACGTGTTTAAAGTACCGTAACGATTCACGAAAAAATTCTTCTATTGGAAAGTTTCAATTCAATAAACAAGAATTATTGACATTTATATCCTTCTTCCTTATTATTTCACCGTCTTGTTTTTTTGCCAATTATACACCCCGTGATTTCCTCTTTTACTTAAAGTGTATGCAGAGCACATCTCTTTATTGTTCGAAAATCTTTTCATAACACGTGTCAATGCATCAGCAGTTATTTTAATAGTGGATCAAAAAACTCCTAAATTTTTCGTTCGTTTAAACACAAACAAAAATTTTTTCTTTCACAAAGAGAAGAACGCTGGGCTATTTCTTTCTCAAATCAAACATTCTGGAAATAAAGTTTCGCATCCTGTGTAGCGGCGTTTGGTGCACACGCAACTACAGGGTGTAACCAATACACTGTCACATGTATATATTCGCGTACGTTAGCCTTGGCATGCACGCACGGTGGTCACGCATGGTGGAAAAAAGTTTGGCCCTAGAGATTGAGGCCATTGCACCTAAGCCCTCGATGAACAAGCCACGTTTCGTTTGGTGCACTCACTATAGCAAAATGGCCCCGGGCTATGAAAGGAGGATGGAATCCAGGAAAGCTTTAGCCATATATTTACGTCGTTTGTAACATTTTTCTAGGAAAGTGTTCGAGACTCGCGTGCACTTGGAACCAAAACATTAAATTATATCATCTGAAATGAGATTGAAAAAAGTTTGTTTGTTTTTATATCAAACTAATTATAAACACTAAAAAATAAATCATTGAAATTCGTTAGAACTAATTAAAATATCATCCACTTGGAATAGTTCAAGTTCAGGATGATTGTAGTTATGAAGTTTTTCTCGTATAATATAAATCATGTGCCACTGCAAAAAGTTATACCACGATCAAATTTAAAATATTCATATGAATATGATTAAGCTATTATATCAAATAAGAAGTTTAAATAGAAAGATTTAATTATTTCTCGAGCAAATATTGCTCCATAATAGTTATTTGAATTTTTGATAAAAATATATTTCAAGGAAGCAAAAGATCATGAATATCTATTCAAGTTTTAAAATAATTAATGTACGAGGTGATAATTTTAATACGCGGAACACACTTTAATAATTCAAATTAAATTAATTTGTCTGTACAAGAGTAGTTTTCAATATATTA